CAATGCACATTTGTGTTAATGCGCACGCACACTGCATCCACATATACACAGGAAGCTGAACACACATGGGCTGTCCAGGTTGGTTAAGTTTTGTCTTTTGCCGTGAACCGCGGGGGAAAGGGAGGGGGGGGGGAGTGAACTTAATGGGTATTTAACCTGGCCGTATAAGTAAGGACAGAATGGACTATACCATATGACGTGTGTACCACGAGTGAAGTTCACGTGATTACGAACACAAACAAATTTATATGATGGCAGTAGAAGACTGAATCTGAGGCCAAACTACGAAGATATTGCCGATTGAGTGACATAAATAACCTAGCAGTTTGTGGGCAATCTTCATGTCTGTAACAACACATGTAATTAAGCAAGCCCTATTGTGTAAACTTTGATACAAATCATTTGGATGAAGAACACTTCAGTATATCTAACCGGAATGTGTAAAAGACACATAGGTGTTGGTGATCACCTGGTTCTCTGCCTGATGTAATACCAGTTGAATGGATGGCGTGCATCATCTATTGAAACTGATGTGGCTAGCCTTTTAGGGATTTTCTTGAGCTCTTGGTTCTAATCAACTTTGTGACCACAAAAATAACACAAACGGGTATTGGATGTTTAGTTGGTTTTCCGCCTAATGTCGTAGAAGTCTGATTTTTCAGCTGGGCTGACTAAGGCCTAATGCAAAATGTCTATCGATAGGTGTTTTAAACCCGCACAAATATAAGGTTATTAGGTGTTCTTTTCTCGATTTCAGTCGACGACATCAGTCTAAACAACGGTGGCGATCGACACGTATTTCCAGTTCCATAAATAACGATGGATGTTTGGCTGAGTATTCCATTTGGCTCTTGCTTTCCGAATGCCTTGGAATTCAACGACTGTCAAAACTATACTGCCACAACAATACATAACTCATGTATACATGATAAATCCCATACATAAAATAGCATCAGAAATTTTTTCAAGTGTTTGAGATGTTCTTACAACGATAACCCAATTAGTTTATTTTTTGTTTGCACAGTCAGCTTACATTACGTTTTGTGGTAGATACAGTCAATCTCCTACTATGTCGCGCCCATGAGAAGTCGCAGTTTATAGAATATTCCCACATTTCATCAAACCCAAACCAACCGTGTACGTAATGTAGGTAATGGCTATGCGATGTCACTCCTTCAGTATGTCGAACTTCCGGATACTTGCTCACTAGGTCGTTGACCAATGTAAGGGTCGATCACTGAACAACCAACTTGCAATGTCATATGCCGACGTTTCGTCGAGTATACCGCAGACATGAGGCTGTTCACTAACTGGACAGCCTTTGCGATGAAGACACATAGATGCCAGCAGTCCAACACGTGACAGTGAGCAAGTGCCTGTCTATCAGATAGAAGCAGAATGTGTTGAAGCTGCAACTGGGAATTATGCAGCAAAATCATTTGGCATTTCAAGGAAAACTGTTTATAACATAGTATCCAATGGAACGATTATGGAAGAATTTGCAACTGTAGTGCACCTCATGAAAGATACCGCCTAAAAACCATCGACAAGTTCAGGGCAGTCAATGATTTGACCTTGACATGGTTTACCGCTATGAGCGAACGGCATGATGCGCTCCCGATTGTTTCAGTTTCAGTTTTTACAATTATTAACCATAAACTTTCGTGCGCCGGTTTTGGTTGCTGTCTTTTGGTCGCCCATTTGGGTAAAAGAGAAGGATGAAGATTGGAATGTTAAAAGCCAATTCAAATAGAAGATAGAGAATTCGTATACATAGAGACAGAATAATGAGTAGATGCATGTGTGCCAGTGTTTGCGACACCCAACCATATCGCTCAGTTTCTCTAATCGATCGTGGAGGGCATCGTTTGTAAGGNGTTTGAACAGGCAGAAAATATACATTATAGTGTAACGTCAGGGCTTCCAAATTTGGTTTCGGTCTTGGTCAGGCTAATGTGGTATTCAGTCCTACAAAGTAAGAAACTAGCGAAGTTTGACGGTACTACTCGATCGGATGAACCAATGTTGAGCTATGTAATTGCAGTTGATCTATAGATGTGCCGATTGTTATGTTTGCAATGCTGATGAAACAGCTCCATATTACACGCAGCTCCAGAAAAAACACTAAGTTTTAGAGGACACAGTTTGTGGAGCCAAGAGATCCAAGGGAACAGTCCCTTTACAGCTTTGTTCAAGCGAGACTAGGGAACACTTATCACTGCTGCGTTGCTCTAAAGTTGGCTGTCCGATCGCAACCACAAAAGCGTTTTTCGAGAAAGATCTATCCTATTTATAGATAACACCTCTTGCCACAACAGAGCCGTAGGATTTACGAATGTAAAATTAGCATGGCTGCCTCCTAGCTGTTCTTCCGCGTTTCAACCAATGCAATAGGCTATGATGTTGTCTTCGAACAAATCTTTTTCGCTCTACACAGGTTTGCTTGCAATACTTTGAGGAAACTGGAATGTTTCTATCCAGTTTTCGCTTTCGTTTTTGTTCTTGGGGTCACCAAAGGAATGACTAAGTTTACAGGCTTATGATTCGTCTCGCTAATAGGAGGGAGATTCAGTTGATCGATGACACTAACACTTTGACACTAACTAACTAACCGATGAACACTAATCGCAATCGATGTAGCTGATAGACTGGGTGTTGAGTAGGCTGTTAGGTCTCCCATCAGTTGACCACCACTGTTGCACTGACCCACCTATGCGAAAGATAATAGCAGTGGATTGTCTTTGACGAAATTAGACAGGTCACTGGCCCAGGGTCATAATCTGGGACAAACGCGCCTCTTACTGTGTTTGAGCGCTGTAATTCTCCGTGATTGGACACTGAAAGCATGGCTAATAACAGCCGCACTGATGCAGACCAATGCTGGTCATAACGAATGCATCGATCGGTTTCATCGTACACCGGCGTTACCAAAAACGGATAATCGAGGGAATGGATGTTTACAGGCACTATGGTGCAAATTCTTCGCCAGAAAGTTTCTCTGGTGAACAGTAGGAGCTTGGATATGGGAAAGAAATCCATGTACTACAGATACACTGTAACAGAGGTTTCCATTGCTTTCGACAATGTGAATTCTCTTGACGCAGCATTAAATGACGTATGTGCGTCCTAGTCTGAATCATTAACTGTATCCTACTTTTGGGACGTCAAGTCAAATTTTTATTATGGCAATTACTTAAAAGTTCATGTTTCTCTTGTCCCCATTGGATGTTTACACAATTGGATCTTTTCTCAGCCAAAATGCTAAATATCACATATGGTTCTGGATAGGAGATAACTCATATTGTTGTCTTCAACTAATTTGCGTTTTTAGTTGTATAGGAATGTGAGATGTGCCAGGGTTCCATCAAGTTTGTGCTTGAACGATTCAACAGTTGGCGCACAAATGAAGTGAGATGGAATGGCGTTCCAAGTGATGCACACTCCGACTGCTAAAGAATGACGCCAGAATTTCAGTAGACACTTGGAACCGGTAATTTGAAACCACGTTCCCTAAGGCGTG